GAGGAGAGGAAAGGAGGAGAAACTACAAAATACACCTGGATTACAATAATTTGCATTCACAAATTTAACGGATTTGATGTTGCATAGGCCCAGTAATCACCAGGGATGTAACGATGTCCAAATTTCTCGGTACGATTCTTTCTCGATATGCATCTCACAGAACGATATTTGAGGAGGTGAACAAAACTGAAGACGCTCCTTTTTCCTCTTAAAATGCCTTGACGAAACTTAACCCAAAAAACTAAGATTTAAAAAGTGCTTAGAACAGTTATTTCTTCATGTAGCCTGCACAGAAACAGCAAAGGATCATGGTCTATGTAGTTCCCTCTGTTTATTTTAGCTCAGTCCTTCTCAAATAGTGGGCGAGGATGAAAAGAAAAGGCGGAGAAAGACGGAGATAATGAAACTAGGGATGGGCATGATTAATCGATTAATTGATAATTGATCATTAAGAATTTCATCTATTACGTTCATTTTAATCGACAAACCGAATGTAGGTTGCTGTGTGTCGTGACCAAACAGGTGTGTACATGTGTCTCTGCATCAGAAGGAGCGAGACACAAACAGTGGGTCAGTCTGTAACGAACCGAAGCACAAATGTGGATTTAACCAGGATTTGTAGAAGAAATTCCACACTTTCCGTTGCGTTGGGACAAGTGTGAGTCCATGTGCACAGTGGATAAAGCAGCACATATGTTTCTGTGTCCAGTGGGAAAAAGTTTTTCCAGGTGAGAGTCGCTCAATGTGGATGACGAGGCCCCGCCCCCCTCCCCCCGTACGCTGTCCTGGTTTTGACAAACACAAATCTGGTCACACTGACCTGTATTCACCTGAGTCATGTCTTTTAATCCAACACAAGTTGAACCACATCAGCGACACAAGAGCTGGAGTTTTATCTTCACTTAGTTTATGTAAATTAGTGATGTGGTTTTAAGTTTTGTTTCTGTGAGATTTGAACAAAACTGAATTAAACACATTATAATGTCAAACAGCTGATGTGGATCTAGAGTCGTTATGTTTATATGTCGTAAAGTTGAATTTATTGATGCAGATTAGTGCAGATAGTAATAATAATGATGATCATTTTAATATAAAAACGTTAATGATTCATCGATAATCGATCGTTAATTCTTCCGACGATCGATTAAGAAAATTTCATCGAATGCTTGTCCCTAAATGAAACAAACGACTCTCCCGAAATCTACGACGAGGAAATACGAGGAAGCGTACGCGTCGCTCAGCTTCACTGTGACTACGGCGGGAAACGAGCAGAGACCGTTGTGTTTACTGTGTCTAAAAATGTTGCAGCGGACAGCACGAAGACAAATAAACTAAGACGTCGCTTAAAGACATTACACCTCAACTGCGCTGATGAGACGCTTGAGTTTTTTTCAGCAAAAATGAGCCAAATATCGCCAAGAATCATCCCGCTTGGTGAATACAAATGACACTGTTTATAGTCAGCGGAGAGAGGAGGGACGCAAAATGTTTTCTTCTTCCTCGGAGGCTTGACAGAAAATAATTGAGAAGCACTGGTTTAGCTGTTACTGCATCAAAACTATTAATATAAGCAAAGAGTTTTGTTTTTCGATATATCGCGATGGACCTCGATATCACTGTGAGAACTTTGACGATACGAGATCACGATATTTTGGTTGTTGTTACATCCCTAAGAATTACAAAGATATGAAACAAACTCCACCTCAGACTCTCACCTGCCTCACCTGCCTCACCTGTCTCACCTGCCTCACCTGTCTCACCTCACCTGCCTCACCTGCCTCACCTGCCTCACCTGTCTCACCTGTCCTCACCTGCCTCACCTGTCTCACCTGTCTCACCTGTCTCACCTGTCTCACCTGCCTCACCTGCCTCACCTGCTCACCTGTCTCACCTGTCCTCACCTGTCACCTGTCACCTGTCTCACCTGTCTCACCTGTCTCACCTGTCTCACCTGTCTCAGAGAGTAATCCCTTCAGGCTGAAGTTCCTTTGTGCATTGTTGAGTTTGAACTTTTGAAAAGCAGCTTTCGCCTTTTATATCTGACGCTTTCACTGTTTCTTAGACTTAGACAAACTTTATTGATCCACAGGGAAATGATTTGGACACAGGAGCTCACGCGTCACAAGAGTAAAAATATAAATGTTAATAATAAATTCTAAATAAGCAGCAAAAAAGAGCAAGAGACCAGAGTTAAATATGACATAATTAAGTAAATGTAAAAGTACAAGTCAAAATAAAATAGAAGAATAAGCAATAAAATCTAAAAAAGGTAATAGGAAAATCTGTATCATTCATTCATTCGTTTTTCAATATAAAACCAAAAATAAGAAAACAAAAAAACAACAGTTTTCTTCGTTATTTGTCTCCAAAACCAAAATGAAAAAACGGATAACGATTCATTTTTTCAGTTTTCGATTTTGTGTTTAAATGAAGAATGGAAAAAACGGATGACGACCGTTTCCCGTTTACGTGACGTCAGTGACTGAGATGCTGGACTTTTGCCCCGCATACGGACTGAACCAGGACTGATCCAGGTCCGGGACCAGACCGGGACCAGACCAGGACCAGAGCGGGACCAGAGCGGGACCAGAGTGGACTCCGCAGGGTCCGAGCCTCAGCTTCGAGCTCCGGCCCTGCAGTGGGTTCTGAGCGTCCCGGTCTGGTCCCGGTCTGGTCTCGGTCTCAGCCCCAGTCTGGTCTTGGTCTTAGTCCCGGTCTGGTCTCAGTCTCAGTCTGGTCCTGGTCTGGACCTGGATCAGTCCTGGTTCAGTCCGTACGCGGTGCAAAAGTCCGGCATCTCAGTCACTGAAGTCACGTAAACGGGAAACAGCCGTTATCTTTTTTTTTTCCATTTTTCATTTAAATACAAAATCAAAAACTGAAAAAAACAAATTCTTACCTGTTTTTTTCATTTTTGTTTTGGAGACAAATAATGAAGAAAACAATTGTTTTTTTCATGTTCTTATTTTGGGTTTTATATTGAAAAACGAATGAAAACGAATGACACACAGATTTAGGAAAACTGTATTTAGTGCAGTTTGATTTTATTCTCACCAAAAATCTGAAAACGCTGAATCCTGCAAAATATCGTGAAGACGAGTTATTCTGCCGTTTCGACTTTTTGGAGCTTTCTCTCTCATGTTCTAACGTCGTTCTTCGTCAAAAACCTGTCTGAAGGTTCTAGAGTCTTCCGTGCATCTCTTAGCAGTACGAGCTTGTACGAGGCTCCGCCCACACGCTCCCGCGCGACAGTTCTCCATAAATACACAAAAACATGACACAAAACTGTTCACTATGACGTCACAAACCTGACGTGATGTGCAGGAGTTTCATTAGTTGGACGCAGGCTGAGGGTGTTATGATAGAGCTCTGAAGGGGGAGTGACTTAGTGTAGAGAGGGGAGTGTCATAAACGAAAATGAAACGTATAAAGTCGTAGTTTTCAAGTGAACAGCTCCTTTTACCTTTAGTTCAGTAGAAATCGGCAACTCCAGGACTAAAAAAATGATCCAAATGATTCTAGTGAAGGTGTGTGGAGTTTAAAAACACAGTGGAGCACTTCCTGTATCACCACCCGATGACATCACGAGGTGGAACAGTGTTTTTTTCGGTTTAAGAGGAGAACAAAACCCAACTCCAGGTCCGTTTGTGATGAGGAGACGACATTAGAACAGAGAATATTGTGATTTGAGCCTTTAACAAATCAAATGTAAAATGTAGAAAATTCTTGATGAAAATTTTGATGAAAAAACAGAAAACGACAATTGTAAATGAACAGTTTTGAGCGCCGTGTTTTATTTAGCATGAAAAATAATGATTTTGTCTGTATTTCTTGTATATTGTGTTGAAATGTTGTAATATACGAGCCGTGTTTGTGTTTGTGTCGGAGCTGCTGTGGGGTTTCACTTTTTCTATGTGTTCATAAAAAAAACAAAATAAAAGTGAAAAGTGAAAGTGTTTTTGTTCTTTTACTGTTTCTTTTACTTAACTCAGCTGGTTTAGTCCTGGTTTAGTTCTGGTTTAGTCTAGTCCTAGCTCAGACCAGTTTACTCCCTGTTAAGTCCTGGCTCAGTCTTGGTTCAGACCTGTTTTACTCTCCGTTTAGTCTTGGTTTAGACCTGGTGTAGACCTGGTTCAATCCTGGTTTAGTCCTGGTTTAGTCCTGTTTTAGTTCTGGTTTAGTCCTGTTTAGTTCTGGTTTAGTTCTGGTTTAGTCCTGGTTTAGTCCTGGTTTAGTCCACACAGTTTGGGAATTGAACCAGAGACTTTTGTAAAACTCTTTTGTCTCTTGTGTTTGTGTTTTATCTGAATAAAAGACACTGGGTGCAGTCGCCCTCTAGTGGACACACACAGAACTACATCGGTTCAAATAAGACTCAAAACAAACTACATTAAAGACCTGGTTTAGTCCTGGGTTAGTCCTGGTTTAGTCCTGGTTTAGTCCTGGGTTAGTCCTGGGTTAGTCCTGGTTTAGTCCTGGTTTAGTCCTGGGTTAGTCCTGGTTAGTCCTGGTTAGTCCTGGTTTAGTCTGGTTAGTCTGGTTTAGTCCTGGGTTAGTCCTGGGTTAGTCCTGGTTTAGTCCTGGTTTAGTCCTGGGTTAGTCCTGGTTTAGTCCTGGTTTAGTCCTGGGTTAGTCCTGGGTTAGTCCTGGTCTAATCAGGGCCCTGATAAAACTCAAACCTCATTCTGCTGCGTGGTTTCATGAAAATCTTGTTTGTTTGTGTGTTTGCTTGTAATATTCTGTATCTCCCCTCCTTGAACCGTCACCTTATCGTGGTGGAGGGTTTGATGCCCGAATGATCCCGGGAGCTCTGTTGTCGGGGGCTTCATGCCCCTGGTCACCCAAGGCAAACAGATCTGGGCGGCAGTCGACGGCGGGGGCCTCGGCGACCGGATCTCCGGACATGGAGACTGTGGCTCTGGGGACATGGAATGTCACCTCGCTGGGGGGAAGGAGCCTGAGCTTGTGCG